TGGCAGCTGTATGAGACGGGTTCATCTAGCAGGTATATAAGGTTTCCATACCATACAGTTGACCAGCCAAACATTAAAGCACAATTTGCAGCGGTCGCCTGTTTTCCCAATGTAATCTGAGAGATCTACTGCACACACATTGCTATAAAGACACTATCTGAAGATGAATTTGCATACGTGAATCAGAAACATTTCCATTCAATAAATGTGCAAATAAAATATGATGCACAGACTTATTAATGATTCCTACTGGTCTTTCTCATGATAAATAGTTGGCAAAATCTGATATGTAGCGGGGAAAAAGAAGAAAGAGTTCATCAGACGCTGGATTCGAGCCGAGTTTATGCTCGAATGTGTCAAAACATGATCACATGCGTTTTACAATGTGCGCCACTGAGACTGCTAAGGGTACTGCAACATTTTACAGATATAAATCACACTATTTCTGTTTTTAATGCACTCAGTGCGATGTTCAGACCCAACTGTGTTAACCGCATCAGCTAAACTCTCCCACTCTATTTTTTTCTTTTGTTGTTAATTCCGGAGGACAAACTTGCAAATAACACCGCTTTCCTCCGGTCTACCTCTGAAAGCAGCACCTCTAATTCACATTCTGTTCAAAGTTTCTCTTTTTTGCTTTTGCTTTTTCGTTGGGTTTTGCCATTAGCATAGTCATTAGCATATTCATACGGGGGAGGAGGCAGGGAGGGGTTTTGTGCTCGTGCATGTTGCGCTCAGTTTCACGTTCATTCAGATGTACAAAAGAATATGCGTGAGATTCGGCGTACGCAGTGTTTCATACATCTGAATTTTTTTCTGCGTACGCACATTTACAGCTTTGTGTGTACGCAATGTTTTAGTAAGATTTCCACGCAAGTCTTCGTACATGAGGCCCCTGGTCTGCAAAATATTTTCTAGTTTTTTAAGTCAAAGTTTTAAAAAAATGACAAAGTCCGAAAATTCAAAGATCTCCGAAATTAACTTTTGTACTTGGTAGCACCGGTGCTCCCAACTTCAAATATTTAGGAGCACCAGAAAAAATGTAGGAGCACCCACTAAAAATAAATAAGCGCCACTGCAAAAAGTGTATTATAGGATTTATTGTATTTGTAAATAACAATTAGGACTAACAAAAACCCGAAACAGCTATCTAACTAATGCTGTGATGATATTGATATTTGTTTGCAATAATTCCAAAATGTATGTCTAATAATGATTAAATATTATTATTGATGGGAGACGCAGTGGCGCAGTAGGCAGTGCTGTCGCCTCACAGCAAGAAGGTCGCTGGTTCGAGCCTCGGCTCAGTTGCCGTTTCTGTGTGGAGTTTGCATGTTCTCCCTGTGTTCGCATGGGTTTCCTCTGGGTGCTCCGGTTTCCCCCACAGTCCAAACACATGCGCTACAGGTGAATTGGGTAGGCTAAATTGTCCATAGTGTGTCTGTGTGTGTGTGTGAATGTGTGTGTGGATGCTTCCCAGAGATGGGTTGCGGCTGGAAGGGCATCCACTGCGTAAAAACTTGCTGGATAAGTCGGTGGTTAATTCCGCTGTGGCGACCCCGGATTAATAAAGGAATTGAATTATTAACGATGATAATGATGACAATAATACTAACAATGAATTACATTTCTCAACATCATGCTGTCTTGAATGTGCTTGAATGTAAGTTATCTGCTATAAAAAGTTCTAGTGTTACTTTATTCAAAATATTATTACGGTTTGCATCAAACACAAATGAATCGTTGCAGTAAGAAGTGTTTATTTTGCACTATTGTTTTTATACGCATGTCAATTAAATGAATTCTATTTTTTTAGATTAGATTAGATTAGATTCAACTTTATTGTCATTACACATGTACAAGTACAATGCATCGAAATGCAGTTTAGGTCTAACCAGCAGTGCAATAGCAGCAAGTGCAGGATACAGGAATAAGTTATAAAGTGCAGTTATAGAAAACTATGGTGATATTTACAGATGGATGTACTATCAACATTATATACAGGTTGGATAAGCTATGAACAGATTTACAATATATGAATATATGTGCAGGTTGCTATTAATAATCAGTAGAGTGCAGATAAATAAACATGATAACAAGTGTATATGTTACAATACATGAATATATGTACAGTTTTCTGCTACAAAACAAACAAAAGATTCTAATAAATCCAACCTAGGCTCATTCTGAAAACGTAGTCCAGCGGACGTTTCAGGAGACTGCGAAATACGTCCCGGGACGTACATATTTGTGTAGTTTTTGTTTTCACGAATTTGCGAGAGGCCGCTGTGTGCGCTTTTTCACATGTCGAACGTCTCTCGTGAGCGTCGTTTGCACCTTCGCCGTTCCCGCGGAAACCCACAAGAGGAACACATATTATCAGACATACCGATCATACATCAAAGTAGCCATGGTGATTACCTAATTTAATAATATTTTAAATAATACAATCAGTTGAATTAAGAATTATTCATCCCCCTTGGATTTTTTTCTTTTTTAAATATTTCCCAAATGATGTTTAACAGAGCAAAGAAATTTTCACAGTATGTCTGATAATATTTTTTCTTCTGGAGAAAGAATAATAAAAGTTTTAAAACACCATTTAGAGTCAATATTATTAGCCCCTTAACCTATATTATTATTCAATAGTCTACAGAAAAACCATCTTTATACAATAACTTGCCTAATTACACTAACCTGCCTAGTTAACCTAATTACCCTATTTAAGCCTTTAAATGTCACTTTAAGCTGTATAGAAGTGTCTTGAAGAATATCTAGTCTAATATTATGTGCTGTCATCATGACAAAGAGAAAATAAATCAGTTATTAGAGATGAATTATTAACACTATTATGATTATAAATGTGCTGAAGAAATCTGCTCTCCGTTAAACAGAAATTGGGGGAAAAAATAAACGGGGCTAATAATTCTGCCTTCAACTGTACATTTGTATTTGTGTGTATATACACACAAACACACACATATATATATATATATATATATATATATATATATATATATATATATATATACATATACGTGTGCGTGTGTGTGTGTGTCTGTGTGTGTGTGTAGGTAGATAGATAGATAGATAGATAGATAGATAGATAGATAGATAGATAGATAGATAGATAGATAGATAGACTGCAAAAAATGCTTTTCTTGCTTGGTTTTTCTCTTGTTTCTAGTGTAAATATCTTTAAATTCTTAAATCAAGAAGCATTTTCCAGACAACATATTTCCTTACTTTTCGAATCTTATTTTCAGAAATAATATGCCAAAATGAAGTGTGCTTTTCTTTAAGTTCCCATTGCCATTACAGTAAGCAAAATAAACACTTCATGAATTGAAAATAAACTGAAAGCAGGATTATTTTGCTTGCTTCATTGGGAGATTAATCAGCTTGTCTTTATTTTGACTTATTATTCTTGAAAGAAAGACGATGTTTTACTTGTCTAGAAAATGCTTCTTGATATAAACTTGGAGTAAAAACAAGATAAAAACTCAAGAGTAAGAAAAGCATTTGTTGCAGTGAGCTGATTACACATCACATGACAAAATGTGTAGTCAGTAACAGACTCTATTAGATTAGGTGTTTAGGTAACATTAGGTGACATGAGGTAACATTATCTCACTGCTATTGCATTACTTTTAGTTAGTTATTATGTATTGGGTTATAAAATTATATAATCCAAGTAATGTTTAAGTAATAATGTAAGAAACTGAAGTACTAAAATCTAAAATTTTAATTATTTACTTAAAAGTTACTAAAAAGGGAAAAAGTGATTATAGTGTGACGTTTATAAGGGTAAAAGTGTTGTTGAGGAAGTGCTTCAGCTCCTGCTGTAAATAAGAGCATGTAGAAGTGAAGAACAGAGCTTGAGGAGGACGAGAGAAAGTAGGACAGAGTAGAGGACAAGCTGCTGAAGGTGGACACTAGAACACACACACTGACCTCAATTACTGAACACACACACACTACAGCTCTACTGCATGACCTAAAAACAGAGACACATATTCAGACTCACACTTACACACACATATTTACACTTTTGCACATACACACTTTCACACTCACACACATACTCACTGACACCCACATACATACACTTAGAGACACTCACACAGACTTACTCACACTTTTGCACACACACAAAGACTAACACTAACATACAGACACACACACACATTCATTTACACATACTAGCAGTCATATACATACATACATACACGCACTCACATGTATACATGCAAACACATACTCAAATACACACCAACACATGACCCCTTTAGTTGCTGTTTGCTCCTGTTAACCCCTGCCTGTCTGACCTTTAACCCCATCACTACAATAATAATATATAATCGCTTACTAAATTATTATAATAACAATAGAAATAATAATAATAACAACAATAATAATCATAATAACAATAATAATAATAATTATAATAAAAATCATAATAATTATAACAACAACAATAATAATAATCATCATAACAATAATTATAATAAAAATAATAATATAAATCATAATAATTATAATAACAATAATAATATAATAATCATAATAACAATAGTAATAATAATAATTCTTATTATTCTAATAACAGTATTAATAATTATAATAATAACAACAATAATAATAATCATACCACTACTAATAATAGTAATAATAACGATAATAATAACAATCATAATAATAATAATAATAACAATAATTATAATAATAATTATAACAATAAAAATATAAATAGTAATAGTTATAATAACAATAATAATAAAACTCATAATAACACTAGTAATAATAATCATAATAACAATAATCATAATAATAACAACAACAATAGTAATAATAATACTAATAGTAATAATTATTATTATTATAACAAATATAATAATCATAAAAACAATCATTATAATAATAATTATAACAACAACAATAATTATAATAACAATAATAAATAATAATAACAATAATAAATAATAATAATATTAATAATAATAATTATAATATTGCTTCTATTGTGTTCTGCTGTGATTATCAACTGTGAAATAACTCTAATCATTGAGCGGAGTGATATGAAGTAGTAATGCACTCAAAACCTGCCGGAACTACTTCAGCTGTGCCTTTCACTGACAATAAACAAACAGCTGAAAGTGATCATCAGCCAATCAATCTTTGCATACGTTTCTATAATTAATAATGACGCTGAGATGATTCTTGGCTCCTTCAGCTCATGAATATACAAATCATAAATCGGAGTCATAATTCTGTCATATCTGCTGCTGACATAATGAATTCATTAGCGTCTCTGTTTGAGTGTGTGTGTGTGTGAAACAGATGCGGTAACTGCAGGATTGACACTTGCTCATGCACACAGAGGTTCAGGAAGTCAGTTTAGGACAGGATGAATAAACATGAGGGAATTATTCACGGCTTCGGGGAACTGAAGTTCAGCTTTGGATATGTTATGCATCACTGATGGATTCATGCATGAGCGCTGCTGTTTTAGATGACTTCTCAGCTTCTGCTGTAATATCTGGTCTGCAGAAGAGATGTGAGGTCCTTTCATGTGCAATCTGGAACTTCAAATGATCTAATTATTTTAAATTTCAGATGGACATTGTTAAATATATATTTAGATTTAGCGTGCGTGCATGTGTGTGTGTGTGTGTGTGTGTGTGTGTGTGTGTGTGTATGTGTGTTTCCAGTGCTGCTGACCTGTCTGTGGCCGAAGTGGTTGAGGATGTTCTTGAGCTTCCTGCTGTTGCTGTGCGCTCTGTGTGGGGGGACGGCAGGATTGGGGTCTCTCCAGTCCACTGAGAGGCGATGCAGCCACAGGTGCTGCTGCTGCTGCAGGTGAGCGGAGCTGATGCTGGGGTCGAAACAGTGGACGTCACAGCCGGAGGAGGCTAGAGCACGCTCCACAACATCAGCTGAGGACGAGCCCAGCCTACACACACACATCAGGTACACACACATCAGCCAGAGGAGGCCAGAGGACGCTCCACAACATCAGCTGAGGACGAGCCCAGCCTACACACACATCAGGTACACACACATCAGCCACATTCATTCATTCATTTTCTTGTCGGCTTAGTCCCTTTATTAATCCGGAGTCGCCACAGCGGAATGAACCGCTAACTTATCCAGCCCATTTTTACGCAGTGGATGCCCTTCCAGCTGCAACCCATCTCTGGGAAACATCCATACACACTTATTCACACACACACTCATACACTACGGACAATTTAGCCAACCCAATTCACCTGTACCTCATGTGTTTTGACTGTGGGGGAAACCGGAGCACCCGGAGGAAACCCACACCAACACGGGGAGAACATGCAAACTCCACACAGAAATGCCAACTGACCCAGCCGAGGCTCGAACCAGTGACCTTCTTGCTGTGAGGTAACAGCACTATTTACTGCGCCACTGTGTCACATGCCACATTCATATAAAAACGCGCGCACACAGACACGGATGCAGACAATAACAGGTACATACACACATTAGATAGCTTCATATATATGCACACACACCAGACCCAAACATATATACACACACACACACACACATCAGCCTCCAACAAAAAATATATCACACACACACACACATATCAGGCACATTCATATATACAGAGGCACACACGCATACACACAATATACACATCAGACACATTCATATATACAGACACACGCAAACACACACAGCAGGCACATTCCTATATACACACACACACACACACACAGATGATATTCATGAGCAGTGTAATATGCTGATTCAGTAAAGCACAGGAAGTCCTTGTGAATGAATGAATAATGAATCCTGATGCGACCTTCACACTGAGCTGTGTGTGTGTGTTTTGTGTGTATATATGTATGTATGTATGTATATATATATATATATATGTGTGTGTGTGTGTATGTATATAAATATATATATATATTATCTGCGAGTGTCTGTTTGTCTGTCTGCATGATAGTTGTGTGTGTGTGTGTGAGTGACTGTACCTGTGTGTATGTATATAGGTGTGTGTGTGTGTGTAATGTGTATGTACTCATGTTTGTACCTGTCTGTTTCCGCTCTATTAATTGTTAAGTCTAATAAGTCAGAGGCATCTCCAGCTGCATGTTCAAACAGATTTACAGCCTTCGACCGATTCAGGAGTTCAGAGTCGACGTGTAATGCACAGCAACAGGCTTTTATCATGAAAAAAACGAAATGTTTTCATTTAAAATCTCTCTTTTATTTTAGTTTTTAGTCATTTTGTCAGTTTATTTGTCATTATATAATATTTATTTAAGCTTTGGCTTTATATATGCAGAGTTCAGGTGCAAAACCCTCTAAATCCATCATGAGCATTGTCTATCAGGCTCCTCTGATTAGGTTCAGAAGTTTCATTTATATGTAATGATCAGGTTATTAGCTGGTACATAAAATACCTTTTTGTCAAAAATGTCACTTTCAATTCTTTGGCAATTCTTTGTTTTTTTAACAAGGTAAATTTTCTTTTGGGTTAAAATCAGCTGAATCCACTACTGCTGTTTATGCAAAAACCTCTAAAACAACCTATTAGGACAAGACAGTGTAATTAGCTGATAATATCTAATGATGCAATTACACATTATTTTACCAAACATAAAACACATTCAACAAACCACCTGAAATTAAAAATAGAGAAATCTGTCAAGTAAGTGGCGGTTCATTGCATTGTGGTTAGGAGTGCAACTGCAAATTTACTGAGGGCGGGGTATGCGGGAGCAAGTTTTACCCCCAAAATATTTCCATCAATAAACTGAGGATATTTTTTCCTCGTCAACGTGCTTCAAACACATACATTTCTAAACACCACTGAAATAATATGAAGTAGTAAACGTATAATTACACTAAGCATGTTAAGTCACAAAGACGTACATCTCGTCCCTCCCCAAATTTCTTCTCAATTTCATTTCCCCCACTAAATGATTATAGCACTTTGACATGCCTTGTTTTTGTACTTCATTTGTCAAAACAAAGTGAAGTTTATTCATAAACTAATTTCGAGAGGAGCACGTGATTATGATTGAACACGGCTGGTTCTGCATTAGCATGCTTGATCCACCAATCAGGCCATTCCTAACCACTATAAAGAGCCAGGGGTTTCTCACTACAGTCATCTTCGATTTGAAGAATCCCCCCTTCCACCCCTACCTTTTCACCTTTCCCTCCATAGGGCAGCACGGTGGCTCAGTGACTAGCACTGTCGCCTCACAGCAAGAACGTCACCGGTTCTAGTTCCTTAACAGGCCGGTGGTCGTTTCTGTGTGTAGTTTGCATGTTCTTCCCGTGCTTGCGCGGGTTTTCCCCGGGTTCTCCGGTTTTCTCCCACATTCCAAAAACATGTACAACAAGTAAATCGTTAAATCTAAATTTCAATACAGGTAATCTAATAATGCAGCATATCTTTTAATAGCCTTCAATCTTAATCTTTAGCTATTATAAAAAGGGGAGTTGTCGAGATCTACCTGAGCTCGAGGCTCCCCTCTCTACCTCCAAACGGGAGGAAGCCCAGGGCTCAAGAACCTTCGAGCTCAGGGCTCTCTCCCGGGACAGCATGCCAAACTTGCTTATAATCAATCATCAGCTAAGTGTGAACTCTTGAAATGATAGATATGGGAGTCCTAAAGGGAAAAAGAACTTAAAAATGCAGTCACTTCTTACATGCATACTGGGAGAGGTGTAAGGTCTGTGTTTGCATGAACAATTGACTGAAACTGCCATTACACCTCTCACAAAGTGAAATAAAAAAAGACTGTAAAATGTTTAGTGTAAAAAATAAACAGATACCAACTGCCTGAAATGTTACATTTTATGAAAGTGTTATGGGCAAACTTTTTTGGATCTAAAAAAAATTACCAAAATGCCTGATGTATCAATATGAAACATAATGAATTTATAAAAACATGTATACGGTATAAAAATGGATCTTGATAGAAGGATTAATTAACATTTCAGATTAAAACAATATTTATGATAATTCCGACTATATATTTATGTGTGGAATTTTTAATCCAATTATTATTTTCTATTTTTTATGCAGCTGCAACGCATCAATCAAATGGTCAACAGAGGGGAAGGGGTGGTATGATTTTTTTATTTAATAAAGTACAATATTATACTCGTATAAAATGCAAAATAAACATTAACAAAAAAATATTTATTTGGATTATTTGAAACTTTTAAATTCAAAAATAGTTTTGGCACTATGGCGCCCCTCCATTTGTTTCGCCCCTATGCGCCGCATATAGTGCATACCCCCTTTTTGCTCCTCTGGTTGTGGTAAACCAGGGAAAAAGCAGAAGGGAAATGAATGAATGAAATCTGACAAGTGCATTAATCAATAACATTAAAACTGACATGCATGAAATCGAAACAATCTGTTATCATTTCTGATATTTACGATTTAGATTTAATGTAAGTAGAGCAATGGAAACATTGGAAACTAAGCTGGTTAGATTCAAACAATGTAGTAAAACATCAGTATCTGTGCATTGTCCATTAATATAAAAAGCTGATCAGACGTATAGGTCAGGGGTCAGCAACCCGCGGCTCTTTAGCGCTGCTCTTGTGGCTCCCTGGAGCTTTTTCAAAAATGTTTGAAAATGCAAAAAGATGGGGGAGGTTAATATATTTTTTTGTTTTAATATGATTTCTGTAGGAGGACAAACATTTTTAACGTTTTCAAATGCTGTCAAAGTGTGTAGAATTCATATTTAATTTCAACATTTCTGTCAACGAAGATGCGTCATAGCCTGCGACACACGTTTCTATCAGCAGGGTGGGATGCCAGGCAAGTGGCTGTTGTAAACAAACCAGGAGATTATAAAGCATGGAAAACCGTTCAAAGATGGTATGACATATTAGAACACCCATTTGCAAACTTTAAAAACAAAACCAAGATACTACAAAAAAATAAAGATATACCTTTCTCCACTAAGACAGTGAAGGAAAGGGCTATTAAAATGGCAGGTAACATCACCGATCAGCAAACCAAGGACATTAATTCAGTGCCAGCATACTCAATTGCCTGTGATGTGACCGATATTCAACGCGCTTTTATGCAGGTATGTGAACTCTGATGGGCCGCAAGAAGAAATGATCAAATTAATAACACTAAAAGACAAGAGGCTGTGCTGAAGTGTTTAAATGACAACGAAATAAACACCAACCACCTGATTTCAGTGGCTATTTAATCATGTATTTGTAGCCAATTTAGTCATTTTGATAGTAGGCTAATATAGCTAATATAGATACATACAGCATGTGTTTCCTTCATTATAAGGCTTATATAAGGCTTTACATTTTTTGTGGCTCCAGACATATTTGTTTTTTGTTATTTTTGGTCCAATATGGCTCTTTCAACATTTTGGGTTGCCGACCCCTGGTATAGGTATTATTAAAGAATGTAAATAATGTAGAGTTTTATATATTATATTTATCTTTAAGTTTAAATTAGTAAATAAAACACAAGGTAGGCCTACTGGGCAAACGGGGATGCCTCTCAGACAATTAATAGAAGCTGTCATTCATTCATTCTCACCATACTCAAGGTCTTGGTCTCTTGTTTATCCTCATAGCATCCATGTGGGATAAAAGAACGGCATCTTAACTCTGTCTTTCGTGAAATGGAGTTGCTGTTTAATGTATAGTAAATCAGACTTAATCAAAGTACCGTCGCTGCACAAACCTTATGAATGCATGCTGCACTCCTGACTGTACAGTGTGTTTTCTTTTTCTTATAGTGCTCAGAGTTTTGAGGTAAGAGACGTTTTCATTTGGCATTTAGTGGCTTTTGCCAACAAACTGATGATTAGAAGTGAATCTATTTGTTGATGGTGTAGTACAGCCTAAAGCATTCACTCAATGTCGTTATCTCATTTTTGGCGGAAATGGCGTTTAGCAGCTTCTGCATCTAAACTCTTCATATTTATATATATATATATATATCAGTGTTTCCTCTAGGATTTTTTTCCAGCTGTGGCGGCAGACTCTGTTGACCATTTTACACAGATCTATCACTATATGTGGCGTTATTTCATTGAAAAAACTGTACAAAAGCATGCACGTCTCTCAAAACAGTTTCCCAGAGATGGGTTGCGGCTGGAGGGGCGTCCGCTGCGTGGAAGTGTGCGGCATGAGTTGGTGATTTATTCCGCTGTGGTGGCCCCGGACTAATAAAGACAGCGTCTTTATTACAGCGTAGCGCAACGCCTCAAAACCACTCTTGCGCCAAGCTGAAAACTACCAAAAGACTACTGCGCCACGCCTTGCGCCACACTGCGCCGGGTGTATGATAGGGCCCTCCGTGTTTGATTTTCTTCTTTATATAGACGATTGTGCTGTCAAACTGTTGTATAAATGCAATATCACATGAGTAGCAGTGCCTGGTGGGACACTAATGCCGAGTTCAGACTGCAGGATTTTCAAAGTAGTCGTGTCACAGATGTTTTCACACTGCATGACTATCTGGGCTAGCGTTTCGTCGCTGCTTTGTTTACACTGCAAGATGGATCGGGGACAGGGGCTTTCAGATTGCATGACTTTACTATAGGAAGAATCGCCGACAACTTCGTCCAAACTACGTTCTCATAACTACATAATGAGAAAGAAGCCTTTAATGGGGTTGAACATGTACATGTTTGCTCGCCTGGGTTTAAAGGGAATTAGCCATTTCTCCTCAACTTAAGTTGATAATAAACTAATTTTTTTCTGTATGAAACGTCAAACAGACACGGTTGCTCCTGAGTCCTGTCAAACCTCCACTAGTTTTTCCTCCATTTCGTGGGTCCAAATAAACCGAAAATGAGCGCTTTTAACTTCTCCCCAGCCTCCCGCTGGCCTGCAGCAGGTGTATACACACACACACACACAAGTGAAAGCTGCTCTCTCATTGGCTGTAGGTGATCGCTGATGTTATTTTCAGACAAAACTCATTTCACACGGCATGATTTGAATCGCCGACAGCTCCAGATATTCAGCATGCCAAATATCTCACAGGCATCGGCGACTCATCGGCGATTCTCTCAGATCGCGTCTTTGATCGTTCATTGTGGTATAGGTGCTACTGTGAGAGATGTTAGGAGTAAACTCATACATTACAAGATAATTAATCGATATTACTGGACACCAGTAAGACTGTATAGGATAGGATTAATGGAAAATAACCACTGTTAGAAATGTGGTCAGTCTGTGGGCACTTTTTTACATTTAACGTGGAGCTGTCATTTGGTGGCTCCATTCTGGACAAGAGTTATTCAAAACCTTGAGAAATGGCTGGGACAACCTTTACCTTATTCTCCAAGAGTCTGTCTTCTTGGTGATACATCGATTTTACAGAACGGAATATCTAAAACACAGGCTGGACTAGTCGTCGCAGGATGTATTATTGCTGTGAGACTGGTGCTGCGAAATTGGAAGAACTCAGATACTCCCTCATTTAAAGATTGGATTGAACTAATGACCTCTACTGCATCATATGAACGTATGTTGGCAAGACTTCAGGATTCCACCCATACCTTTAATCAGAAATGGGGTAGCTTTTTGCAATATTTGGAGAGCACATAAAAAGAAACTTGAAAAGTTGTCAATTTGACTGTCTGTTATATGGTTTTGTACTATTTTATATTTGTTATATTTTTTTTGTTGTTATTATTTTTATTATAATTTGTTTACATTATTTCTCGAATGTTGATTTTGTATTGTAAATTTTATGTTGTGTGGGTGTAAAAATTCAAAATACATAAAAAAGTTCAATTACAAAAAAAAACACCTGTCGGCGAGCCAAAATCGGGGCTAAAATCACGCAGTCTGAACTAGGCATAAGATACTTACAATTTTACGCCTCTCACCAGTGCTGATATACAGCCATATCATACTGCTACTCATGCAATATCGCACATGTACATGTTTCCAATTTAAATGTATTCTAAAATCAGTTCAGTTTTAGAAATAATATATCCTGCTGCTGTTTTTTTAATGTGTATTAATGCTAATAATGGACTGTTTTAGAGTGTGTGTGTTTACTAGTCATCGTGTGACTTCATTGATCTATTTTTTGCTGCAGCTCAGTGTTTATCAGTATAGATGTGTGTAAATGTGCATGGTGTCGGTGTGTGTGACCTGAGTGAGTAGACACGGCAGTGTTTAGAGCGGATCCGCTGAGCCAGACTGAACCTTTGGTCCAAACACAGAGCCCATGGCCCATAATCCTCTCTGTGTGCGTCACATGACACCTACACACACACAAATCATTGTTTATCATTATCTGGATTATTACTGGATTGTAATTGGTTATACAATCAAACGGATGGACAGAACATAACATTTTACTACATATATATTTCAAGATACTAGTGTGTGTGTGTGTGTGTGTGTGTATATGTGTGTGTATATATATATATATATATATATATATATATATATATATACACAACAGTTCTGTCTGGTTCTTGAATCTGATTGGCTGATAGCCGTGCAATATTTTTGCCAGTAACAGCACACAAAGGCCTCTTCACCCTTTACCTTTGTGTATTACTCCGCCCACATACAGCCAGCAACAACCAGAGATGCTACAGTTATTACTTTACAAATATTACTGCTGTTAGACAACATAATGCCCTTTTGTGGCTTTTTTAGTCGAGGGTGTAGTTGTTTAGATTGCAACTGTACAGTTTATTTGTAAGAATAGTGCCTATTTTAAAATATTTACAGTTTCTGAGATAGTTTGTCGGCGGCCATTAGCCTACCGTAGAGTCGATCAAAGATGGTTGACATTTTCTATCCACAAGATGGTGACAGAACCGCATAATAAGCCCTTATACGCTTAGGAGATTATAACAGTCTGATTTCTAACTACAGCTGATCAAATCAAATTTAAACTGGTTAGCATACCTGCTAACATTCCCGTTTTTCATGGGAGTATCCCACATTTCTCCCGCAACTATCCCGTTTTTTATTTCCTCTGGAAAACTCCTGTAATTTCACCCCCATCCCCCCCCCCCTCCCTTTTGGTACAGTCTGTAAACACCCCTGGGGCGCCAACTTTGGTACAGTGCCCGATCGCAGCGGCCAACCAAAACCCGCTGCACCCCATCCCTGTTCTCAACAGTTTTATTTAGAGACCTCACCCCCGAACACCCCCGAACCCCCTCCTCCCGGGTTTTCAGAGACATGTTGGCAGGTTAGATGATCTCTCTCTTTTGTATGTTGTAGTGCTGTATTTATACAGATTTGCTCGCATATCAGGAATGTGTGTTGTGTTGGCAGAAACAAAAGAAGCAAAGTCTGCACGTGTTTAGCGTTTTTCCTTATCGCAAACACAACAGCAGTCTGGTAGTGATTGCGTTGCTTTTTCAGGGATAAGTATTATGAAATCCCGATTGCAACAGAGAAATACTGTCGACTGTAACACTGTAAGAAGATATCTCTGTAGACTGATGGCATTTCATGTCTCGTTCAGCCTTATCTTAAAGTGTGAGCAAAATCAGCAGTTTTGTCATCGCTTTAGACATTATGCTAGAGAATCATTCAACACTAGCTCTACTGTGATGTTGGTGAATTAGTAACAGCTTCTGCTGTTTTGACGTCAGCTGCAGATGTGAATGAATGGCAGAAGAAAGTAGTTCCTGATAAAAAAGGGTTTTTAGACTTTCCGTGTTTGATTTTCTTATTTATATACAGTGTGTCTGTCTGTCTGTGTCTGTCTGTGTGTCTGTGGTCAGCTGCTGGACTGGACCTGTGGTGTGGAGATGTATGAGAGGAATCGCTGCGCCTCCTCCTGTAAAGCAGGCATCCCATTGGCCCACGGCTCCAGATCAATCCTCCACCGCAGAACCTGCACACACACACACACACAGGCTGAGTATTGCTTTTATTATTATTTATTTTTTAATATTCTTGGTTTGATCTAAGATTTACTCATGAAATCACAAAGATAACCCTGTTACAGTAGTTTTTATAGTCTACATATATTCATTCATTCATTCATTTTCTTTTCAGCTTAGCCCCTTTATTCATCAGGGGTCACCACAGCGGAATGAACCGCCAACTATTCCAGCATATGTTTCACGCTGGGGATGCCCTTCCCAGTACTGGCAATACATGTATTTACGTTTGAATCATTTTAAGTTTTATTAGTTTTAGTATTTCTAATTATCATTACATTTTGTTTAATGTTAGTACCTACATGTAAAATGTTTTATTCCAAGTTAATTCTATTTTTTGTTTAATTTTATTTTAATTTACATTATTTCAATAACCGAACATTTTTTTTATTAAATTGTACTGTGTATAAATATATGTGCTTTTTTATTTATTTATTTTTACATGTAATTTGTAATTTATTTGTACGGTGGCTCAGTGGTTAGCGCTGTTGCCTCACAGCAAGAAGGTCGCTGGTTTAAGTCTCGGCTGGGTCAGCTGGCGTTTCTGTGTGGAGTTTGCATGTTCTCCTCATGTTAGGTTTCCTCCGGGTGCTCCGGTTTCCCCCACAGTCCAAACAAATGCGCTATAGGGGAACTGATGAACTAAATTGGCCGTAGTGTATGAGTGTGTGCGGTTAAGTGAGTGTGTATGGGTGTTTCCCAGTACTGGGTTGCAGCTGGAAGGGTATCCACTGTGTAAAACATATGCTGGAATAGTTGGCTGTTCATTCCATCGTGGCGACCCCTGATCAATAAGCCAAAGGGAAATGAATGAGTCGATCTGCTGCAGCTGTTTTCTTTCTTTCTCTGTTTCTGGACTTTAATCAGTTCCAGATCTGTCGTGTCTTTTATTAGTGCTGAGTTTTTCCAGCTCCTCTTAGAAATGTCAAACAAACACAACTCAACACAGGCGCAGCATCTGGACTGTTGAAGAGAAGAAATATGTTGAATCTAAATATTAGCGGTAGATCTGCTAAAGGTCAGTATACACCAGGGTTATTATAACTGAGTTATAGGGCCCTATCATACACCCGGCGCAGTGTGGCGCAAGGCGTGGCGCAGTAGTCTTTTGGTAGTTTCAGCCTGGCGCAAGAGTGGTTTTGAGGCGTTGCGCTACGCTGTTTAAATAGCAAATGCATTAGCGCTCATATGTGCGTCCATAGGTGTTCTGAGGCGGACCGCGTTGCTATTTTGAGAAACTATAATAGATTTTTCATTAGACCAAAACTAACCCGGTCTAAACTTCAGCGCAGAGATGCGCCTCACTTACACACTGCTTAATACACACAAGAGAGCAATAGGCAAATATCTTTACATATGAAAACATTTAGATATTAAGGATATATATAGGATATAATAAGAATAGATATAGGATATAAATATAAAGGATTAAAAGCCTACATAAATATGAAAAATCACTGCTTTTATGTCTTCTTCATCTCGGGAGGCTTTTTCAGTTCATTCATAACAATTTGCTTTTGTATAATGTTATTATTATTATTAGCAGTATTATTTATTATATCCATATTTATATTTGTTTTATTTAAAACAAGCTTAGATTTGTCCACCTGTCAGGTTTTAGACCATATGAGGCACAGCATGTGTTTTAGGATATAACTCAGGTTTTTGAGCTCACTTCATTATTGTTCATTTATTCGTTTGCTGGAAATTAGAACTGAATTTAGAAACAGTTTTGAAACTAATATTTGCGCTTAACACACGCAATTAATCATTTATAGACTAATTGATGTCTGTGTGTAAAGGTTTCTCTATCCAAGAGTGAAAGTGAAAGTAGATCCATTATCTCTCATTCTCACGCAGTAGATGCTCTGTTTAACTGTTTTCTGTTAACTGTTCACTGTTTGCTTGTGAAATGCTCATTTTTTCCTCTTACACTTACTTTGCATCCTGTAAATAGTGAATGCTCTCTTGGCATGACGCAGCTGGCTCTTAAAGGGAATGGGAGATGAGACTCTGATTGGTTTATTCTCAAAACACACCTATAACTCATTAAGAAAACAAACTCAACGCTTTTAGACCATGCGCCACGGCGCAAAGCGGATTTTCTCGTCCTTAAATTAGCAAAAACTGCCTGACACGCCCTGAAAGCGTTTGCGCCCTGCGTTTTGCGCTCTGCGCATGGACCGTCAAAATAGAGCCCATTGTGTTTTTATTTAGATTTTTGATGTGTTGTGAGAGTTTCCTTTTTGTTCATACTAAAGGGCCGTCGTGCACTATCAAGTTTAAAAGGTGATTTGTGTTCAGGGTTGGTCCTGTAAATTATGGTACAAAACTAGCTTATGAAAGGATGATTCTAGGTACATTTTGCGTCTCCAAGATAAAACTTTTATACATTTTTTAAAAATCTAAATCTGTGAGAATAGAATAATTATGTTGAGTTATTTTTAAAATAGTGTTTTTGTGTTGTATAATATGAACTTGGCCCTATCGTCCACCCGGCGCAATAAGGCTCAAGATGTGTTTGCCGTGATGTGTTGCTATTTTCAGACCAGTGCAGCAGTAATTTTCATGTTTTGCTTCCCGTTGTTTAAGTAGTAAATCCATTTGCACCACTCTGTGGACTTATGAGTGTGCTGGACTATAAAGGAGATGTGTTAAGGCGCATTGTTGCTATTTTGAGGAACTAAAATAGACTGCACCATTGACCAACTAAAAGCTGCTCTAAAGTCTTGTGTTTGGTTGTTGTTGTTTTTTTGCCACACTTCATTATTATTGTTCATTGATTCATTTGCTGGAGATTAGAACTGAATTTAGAAATAGTTTTGACACAAATCTTTGTGCTTCACAATTGAAATCGGCTAATGGATGTGTTCAGTGGAGTGAGTGTCCACCGTTTCCTCACTCCACCAAAGTAAAGGACTAAAGTAAAGGACTAAAGTAAAGAGGCTGAATGGAGGAGGCTTGTTCTTTATCCTTGTGCTGCAGATGCCCTGTTTAACTGTTTTGTCCAGAGTGAAGTGTTCAGTTTTTACACTTACAAAGTCGCCATGTAATAGCAAATGCACTATGGGAGTGGGACTCTGATTGGTTTAATGCATGTTGTGCTCAAAACACACCCAGAACTCATTAAGAGAATAAGCACAACCCTGTTAGACCATGCACCGGGGTGCAGAGTGTATCCTTAAATTTGCATCCTTAAATTAGCAAAAGTGGATTCAGACATGCCCTTAATGCTTTTGCACCATTAAGCCTGGTTTATACTTCTGCGTCAAGTGACCGGCGTAACCCACGGCGCAGGCAACGCGCGCAGCTGTGCATTTATACTTCTGCTGCTGTCTCTGTTGGTCTGCATTAACACTTCCGAAACGCTAGTTGGCAGTGAGGTGTAAATGTTCCTCTGTGTCGAGTTTCTTCGCTTCTGTTTTGCTTTTCCTGAACACTTCCTGGACGTACAAGTAACTCAAACTCGCTCAACTTTAACTATGAGGTAAACACAAAACAAAACTTTCCATCCGGAGCTCCTTCACGGGACTCCACACTTGTAAACAATCGCTCGCGCCATTCGCTCGGCTCTCGGTCCCGCCCAGACTCGTCAGTGCTACCAAGCCGACCAATCACAGAGCTTGCGCTACGCTTTGTTGCGATGTGTAGTTACATTTTTTGAGAGGTGCACGTCAGTGACGGCGACGGCCACGGCGCAGGGCTATGCGTCAGCGCTGTAGCATACGCCGGCGTTTGACGCAGAAGTATAAATCAGCCTTTAGACTTTGCGCCCAGATTGTAAAAATAGAGCCCAAAGACTCCCACTATAGTCTCTGCCTCGTAAATCAAAAATCAGCTTTTATTATAATCAAATAATCAAGTCTATTTTGTTTACTCCACTGAGTTAAATTAACATGTGCATGTACTATGTTCTGTATTATTTGTAATTTCAGTAATATAAAAACACATGTTTTTAGGAACACGGTATAACAGAAAATTGTTGCATTTTTTAAAAGAACTAAAATAGACTGCACCATTGACCAACTAAAAGCTGCTCTAAAGTCTTGTGTTTGTTTCTTTTTTTTTACCACACTTTATTATTATCGTTTATTGATTATAACTGAATTTAGAAATAGTTTTGACACAAATCTTTGTGCTTCACAATTGAAATCGGCTGATGGATGTGTTCAGTGGAGTGAGTGTCCACCGTTTCCTCACTCCACCAAAGTAAAGGAGTAAAGTAAAGAGAAAGTAAAGAGGCTGAATGGAGGAGGCTCGTTCTTTATCCTCGCGCTGCAGATGCTCTGTTTAACTGTTTTCTCGCTAGTGAAGCGTTCAGTTTTTACAGAGTCGCCATATAAATAGCAATGAGAGATGAGACTCTGATTGGTTTAATGCAGGTTATGCTCAAAACACACTCAGAACTCATTAAGAGAATCAGCACAACCCTGTTAGACCATGCGCCAGGGTGCAGAGTGTATCCTTAAATTAGCATCCTTAAATTAGCAAAAGTGGATTCAGACATGCCCTTAATGCTTGGTTTTCCCTCTTGGTGTGGTTTGTTTGGGCAGGTGTGAATGCAGCAATCGTACTCGAGGGCGCACCAAAAGCGGACCAAATAAGCGTACCGAGACCTGCTTGAAGAGGTGGTCTCGGTACGCTTTCAAACGAACCCTGGAGCGGTTCGTTTGTGATGAGAATATGATCTGTACTAAAACAGGTCCAACTGCAAAAAGTGCTGCGCCTTTTGGACTAATTCAGCTGCCGTAGGCTGATGCGCTGTGCATTATGGGATATGGAGGAAAATATTTGTTGACAGCGCTTTACCAACAGGGAGAGAGAGAGAGAGGGGAAACATTCCCTGATGGATCATTGGTAATATTTCCGCAAGATGAGCATGTCGCAGTTTAGCTAAATTAATTCACGCCTCCTTCTGAAGTGACGAGCGACGCATTAAAACTTTGTTTTAATACAGTCGCGGCCGCGCTTCATTCTCGAAATGTATAGTTTGTCTAAAGCAAGGATACAATCAGTCAGCGCAGTCGTCTCTCCATAGTAAAAACCACATTTTGTGTCTGCCGGTTTTGTTTACTTGCGGGAGTTTATCGACATTCTCCCACACGTGAATTCTGACCAATCAATAAGCAGTTTAGTAAATATGTTCAACAACATCTGGCCAATGAGAGATGTGGATTTTGTCAGATGACTGCGTTTTGGTTCGTTTCAACTGGTTCGGACCAAAGCCAGCATTGTGGTGTGAAAACGACCCAAAGACGGCAGAAGATGCAACAATGTATCATTTATTACCCTTGGTCTGGACCAAATGAAGCGAACTACAGATGTGAAAGCACCCTTAGAAACCGGTTATCATCCCATGCCTAACCAAGAGCCTCAACAGCTTCTGTTTAAAACGCAGGCATGTTGTGTGGAGGTCAGAAGACCAGGACACAAGAATGAGCTGCTGTTTCAGAGTCTCTGTGATGAGTTGCAGATTCCGGACAGAGAACAGAAGCGTGTTTAATCTGTTTGCTGGATCTGATTTGCATGATGTCCCCAGCTACTTTATTTGTCCATCAGAGCAGATTCTGATCCTGATCCTGATCTTTACGTAAAGGGGTGTTCATAAGACTGCCATTAAACCCTTATGATCATGACATGACACATGAATGTGAATCAGATTTTGATGCTTATGACAACTGTTCTTAAAATCTGCATGAACAGGACGTTTTTTTTTTCTTTTCATATTAATGATTTGTTTTTGCCCAGCCCTAATTATTAATCTGATAAATCTGACAGTGATCCAGCACTCACGGGTCTGTGGTGTTTGTGTGGTGAGCAGCAGGTAGATGTGCTCTTCAGGTCACTCCCCTCCTCATTCCTGAACTCTGCTGCGTGTTTGTCGAGTGTGTGTGTGCTGCTCCAGGCCGTCAGGCTCACACACACGCACAGCAGAGTCAGCAACCCACACACACGCAGCAGGAGACCCTTCCTCGTCCTCATCCTCTTCATACAGGAGCACATTCTGCTACCGTCTCCATCCGTCACCATACATCTGAACACACCACACTCTTACAGGTGACACTTCTACAGCAATCATACACTTCATACACTGTAAAGAATGTCTGCTAGTGAACACTTTCTGTAGTTTGTGTGTTTTTGGTTTATTTACATTAGTGGATTGCATTATGGCGTGTTGGCAACCCAAGCTCATTCTGAAATGTACCCCTGTATACATTTCTGGAGAACACCAAATATGTACCACGAGTTACGATTTTTTGCAGTTTTTGTTTTAGTAAATCCACCAGAGGCCGCTGTGTACGCTTATTCAGATCTCAAATTTCTCTGACGAGTGCCATTCATGCCTGCTGTTCCCACATAAATCCACCAGAGGCCATGTACGCTTATTCAGATTAAAAATTTCTCTCGCGAGGGTGTATGCATGTAAGTATGTGTATAAACAGTGTTGGGGAGTAACTAGTTACATGTAACGGCGTTACGTAATTTAATTACAAAATAAAAGTAACAGTAATTCGTTACAGTTACTGAGAAAAATGTGTCATTAAATTACAGTTACTTTTGAAAATGTTAAAGATTACAAATGGGGTTACATCTATAAATTTTCTTTAAAATTCTGGGATATGTTGAATAATATTAATCCATTTCTTTGCCTGTTTTTGATATGCATGATGCCTTCTGCTTAAGCCATTTATTAAAGCGCGGCTATTCGGATGATTTTGATTTGTGGCGCACCCACAGACGTAAATCCCGGGGGGAACATGTCCGCTCCCATCCGAGGATTGTCCCTCCACCAAATATATAAATATAAAAAACACCCGCACTCTCTATTGTGAAAAATATATGCATGTATACCTAAAATAATTGTCTAAATAAAAAAAATCCGCATTTATTATTTAAAATGCATTTAGTAACAGTTCCCCCCCTACACAGTAGTTTGGCCCACTGGGCCTGCCAGCTCATCACACACACACACACACACACACACACAGACAGACAGAAGTCAGGCTAGGTGTGCGTCGTGGCTGTGGTATAAAATGATTTATATATATATATATATATATATATATATATATATATATATATATATATATATATATACGCACACACACACACACACAGGTCCTTTTCAAAAAATAAGCATTTTGTCTACGGGTGTAGTTACGAGCAAACAAAGAAAACAAAGCAGAACATTTCATAGGTAATATTAAGTTTTTTTCTGTTTTTGTATGTTCTGAACGTTTGTGCTAATCAGGTAACGTTATTGATGATAACAGTCACTTACTGCATTCACCATCAGACAAAGCAGCTCCAACTCGCACTAAACACTCGGCTTATGCTAGTTTTGTTGAATAAAATCAGCAAACAATGCAAAAGAAATATGACAACGAGATGCTGCGCTGCCAGAAACTTGTATTATTGTCGGCTAAGCGAATGAGTCGTTCATAACGGAGATTCATTCACAAATGAGTATGAGCAGTGAAAGCAGGAGAGGAGGTGTGTTTCAGGACATGTGTGTGTGTGTGCGCGCGCGCGTGTTTGTGTATGTGTTGGGCAAACTTACTTTAAATGTTATACACTATATTATAATCTTAATAGAAAAAATGGCAAATATAATATACTGTAACACACACTTTCACACTACTCTCCTTAAAAGTATTATTATTAGTAATAGTATTAATAATAGATATTATTGATAATATAATAAAAATATGCACACTTGCAAATTGGGGTTTGTAATCAAGAAAAAAAATACTTGGCTACTTTCATTGTATAATAATACTCCGTTTCACTGTAACCCATCTCTTCCTGAAGCATTAAGAGATGGAATAACACAATACAGGTATAAAAAGGAAATACAGATGTTTGGAGATTTATATGAGCAGGGCGTACTAATGACATCTGAACAATTGAGATTAAAGTTTTCCCTTCCTGTTAAACATTTTTTTTAAATATATTAAGGTGAGACTCTTTATTACCACAATGCAAAAGGGTAATTTAGGACCTCTCTCTTCCCTCCCAATAGATGCTATTATAAGACAGAGAAAAGAACCCAAAGGATTTGTGTCTTATATGTATAGCAACCTTAACCATTTGCATGGGATGGAAGTGTCATCTTCAAAGCTTAAATGGGAGAAAGATTTAGAATGCATGTTTGATCAAGATACTTGGGAACATATCTGTAAAAGTGCCTTAACATTTTCATTTAATAGTAGACATACATTCATACAGTTTAATATTTTACACAGGGTATATTATACACCTGAACGATTGCACAGAATAGGTGATTCATATTCAGAACATTGTTCTAGATGTAAGATTGAGGTTGGTACATTATTTCATATCTTTTGGACATGTTCCAAACTTAAAACCTATTGGAATACAAACTATTAGTAAAATTGCCAATGTTAACCTTTTACCTGATCCAAGATTTATGTTGTTGGGGGATGAATCAGTTCTTCTGTTCGATCAAAGGGAAAATTGACGTTTAATTAAAATGGCTCTGATACACTCAAAAAAATCAACTAGGCATGTATTGGATTTACAAAATGAAAATTTGTCAGATTGAAAAGAACAAATCAAGTTTACGTATGTTAAATGATTAATTCATGTTATTTGAAACTGAATCAAGAAATAATCAAATGAGTTTGATCAGAACATGTTGATTCAATGAGACTGAAGCTGCGTCCCAAATCGCATACTTATGCACTATTTTACGCCATTTTGTAGTAGAAATAGTGTAAGTAGTGTGTTCACATTGAAAACTCTAAAAATAATAAGTGCACTTTAATTACCCGGATGATGCACTCATTCAGCCGCTAAAATGAAGTGTGTAATGATGGACACTTCACGCACTCAACGACCGCAGGTTTGCTTACGTAGCGGAAGGGGCGGAGCGATCGGACGCACATGTTGAATAACTTTATTTATTTTGGATGGTGAAAGCAAAATTCTCCTACGAGAGTGATTATAGCGCCTCCCGATGGTGAATGCAGCAATACTCACGGCGGTATTATTTATTAATTCTGTTGTTTATTTCACTGATTTGGCAAATGTCAAACGTCATCAGGGAAACGGTTTGAATTTCCGCTTAGTAAAAATACATAAGTGTGACATTTGGGACGACACTACATACATATACTATCCTGTTGAGTGTGTAAGTGCATAAGTACATAGTGCATGAGTGCATAGTGTATAGTGTGCCATTTGGGACGCAGCGTGAGACGCTTCAAATCGACAACTCTCACTCTGGAGAGTCACTTCGCGCATATCAGTAGGTGGCGGTAGTGCGTTTGGATGTCACCATACGAAAACAACAAGAAGAAGCATCACCGCGTGTTTTCGGCACAGTTTGGGAATTGGTTTTCCCAAGAGCTTGAATGTTATGCATGTTATGTTGTTGGCTATATGTTTCCTATACATTTTATACTTTTACATTTTGAATAGGAGTACCAAAGTGAAGAAAGCTGTTTAAACTCAATTGGTAAAAATAAATGATGTTAACGTCCTACAGGTATTGCTTGGGGATCAGTTTTCTTAAGAGCCAAGCTTATTTTGTTGGCTAAATGTTTCTTATATATTTTATATTACATATTACAATTTTGGATATTATATAACATTTTGTATCAGAAAATTAAAGAAGAAATTTGTTTAAATGTGATTGGTGCCTGCTAAAGGCTATAATAAAAGATATTATATATATATATAAAACATGTTTTCTGTCCTTTTTGTGTTGAATTACTTAATTGTAAATATTGCTTCATACTATTGTCATTTAAAAAATGTAATTTAAACAACAGGGCGAGGCAGTGGCGCAGTGGGTAGCATGTTCGCCTCACAGCAAGAAGGTCGCTGGTTCGAGTTGGCGTTTCTGTGTGGAGTTTGTATGTTCTCCCTGCCTTCACATGGGTTTCCTCCGGGTGCTCCGGTTTCCCCCACAGTCCAAAGACATGCGGTACAGGTGAATTAGGTAGGCTAAATTGTCCGTAGTGTGTGTGTGAATGTTTCCTAGATGGGTTGCGGCTGGAAGGGCATCCACTGCGTAAAAAAACTTGCTGGATAAGTTGGCAGTTAATTCCACAGTGGCGACCCCGGATAAATAAAGGGACTAAGCCGACAAGAAAATGAATGAATGAATTTAAACAACAATATTGAACAAGAAATTTACTAGCTGATTTAACAAGACATAATTTTGTTAAAGTAAAGCTTTAGTGTTACATTGAGTAAATTAGAATCATATTAATTAGAATAACACAATACAAACATTTTGAGTCAATTAGTTGCAAAGAAGTTAGACTGACATATTGAAACCATGTTTTATCTACAAATGTGCTTTGTGTTCATACAACATGTTCAAAGCAGTTCAGGTTGACTTGATTGGATTAGATGCATAAAGGGTGCCTCCATTAAATCATGTTCATTCAACAGTTGTTTTTTTGAGTGTAGCAGCAAAGAAATGCATTGCTAAATCATTTGGAAAATCATTGGAAACATCAGTAGATCCACCAAGTCATATTGTATGGCTTAGAGAACTTTCTTCTTATGTTCCTGTTAGATTAAAATAATGTTTAATCTTAAAAAAAAAAACAACTCTTCAATGTTTGAGAAGACTTGGGGTAAATTTATTGAATACATGAATAACTTGGATGTTACGTTGACTGAAGATACGGATGGAAAAGTATGACACTTCATTGCTTTAATCCTGTATTTGTCATTATTGCTTGTTTATTGTTTATTTCCTCTTAATTTACACATCAGCTCGATGTCTCACAAGTATGTCTCTTAAAGTGTTCTGTCTTGTGAGGGTGGGAAAGGGGTGGAGGGTGGTTAGAATAATGTTTACATGTATACTGAAATGATTCTGTAAATTATTAATGTGAAAATAATACAAAAATATATTAATAAAAAAATTATAATAAAAATATAATCCCAAAGCGCTACAACAAAAGAGAAAATCAAGCATGCAATACAATATACAGAGTCAAGATAGAAAAATACTCAAATATAAACACATTAGAATGATCTAACAATGCAAACGTAAATAAAGGAGTGTTTAACAGCAGAGGACACGTTCCTTACAGAACAAGAGAGAGCTTTCCATAACCTGGATGAGTTGACGATAACTCACTAGTGCATAAACTAATGTCAACAAGCACAACTTTGCATATTAACAATGCATTAGTTGATGTTGAACTATAATTAATAAATGCTGTACACGACTATGCAGAATTGTTTAATGTTAGTAAATACATCAGCAAAGTGTTACCAAATATCTACCCGACACTAATAACACATGCACTGGCCACTGTTAGTTAATGCATGAACTCCATGAAGTTAATATCTGCAGTGTGTGTGTGTGCATGATCACGCACCTCCGTCATCCGCTGTAGATCCTGCTCTTCTGTTGTCCATGTGTGTGTTCATTCAGTCCTGTGGTCTTGTGTTCAGCTTCTCTGCGTCTGGAAACATGTCCTCCAGCCGCCGCTGCTCCTCCAGTGTTTCTGAGAGCAGGAAAAAACACACACACGTCACTAAGACACACACACACCCGTCTGCCTCCTCCCACTATCTTTTGTAACTCTAGACACACACAGTCCGCCCCTCAAGCTCAAGTACAACTCTGAACATTATTCTCACGCACAGGAACACACACATTTTTGTCTATGTATCAGAATCAGAGCGAGCTTTATTCGCCAAGTGTGCGCAAACACACAAGGAATGTTTTGTGTGTTTTTAAGGGTACACACAGTGCACATATCAACAGAAGCACACTGAATTGTACACAAATAGTTGTAGGAGTATTTTTAGTAATAGGTACATTTTAAAGTTTGCTGACAATTCTGTAATTGTTAGTTTGTTAGATAAGAGGACTTTAGACCTGTGGCACTTACATCTTCATTCATTCATTCATTTTCTTGTCGGCTTAGTCCCTTTATTAATCCGGGGTCGCCACAGCGGAACCAACTTATCCAGCAAGTTTTTTACGCAGCGGATGCCCTTCCATATTGCACAGCCCTAAAACATACCTATTACTAAAATACTCCTACAACTATTTGTGTACAAAATAAATAATACAGGAGAAAGGACACAACCTCGAGGTGACCCCGTAGATGATACCAACCATTCAGAGAACCAATTGTTTACCTTAACCCTCTGTGTCCTCTGGACAAAACAAGTCTAAAATCCAACCTACAAGCATTCGATAAAACTCATATTCATTGATAAGCTTGTCAACTAAAATATGTGGCTGAATGGGATTGAATGCAGACGGAAAGTCAATAAAAAGTAACTTGGCCGATGTTTCATGCTTATTAAGATGCTTAAGAACTAAACGCAGCAGAGTCCCTACTGCATCCTCCACCCCTCTCTTAGGCCGACATGCAAACTGAAAGGGATCTAGAACACTCACAGTCTTTTGCGTACAGGTATACGTCTCATTTGTTATCTGTAAAATTCAAAGTGTCTTTGTAAATATTTAATGTTCTTTTTATATACATATTTCTGCATTTATTATCATCACTATCTTTGTAGATAAACTCACTTTATTGCATTGAGCTGGTCTTGGTATTTTGTCCCTCGCTTGTTGATATTGTGTGTTTGCTTAACGGAGGCCAGCTAGTAAGTGCTGTGCAGGTAAACCTCACTCCTCTGACCTCTAATGGTGCTCTAGCGACAGATGCTAGTGGTTATGGTCTTTAGCCTCCTTGGTAGAGTGCTCGACTCCTGTGTGGAAGGTCGCTGGTTCGATACCAGCTCGAAGTGGGTTGGGTGGCGTAGGACCGGCGGGGTTACACTTGCACTCTGAGCAGTCGCACTTTTTTCATTTATTTATGTATTTGACCATAGCCTCACTCTTTTTATTAATTTTTTTTTTTGCTGCAGCTCCACGCTTATTTATTTTCTTGCGGCCCCGTGAGCAACATGCAGCCCGCAGGTTAATGATGATGTAACTATAATTCGACCCCAAACAGCGGCCCCTTTGTGAATATAAATTAATTTTAATGAATATTACACCTGCTCAATGAAAATCTGTTGATTCACCACATTAATAATCTGACATAACTTGATCAGAAACCTAAAAAGGGGAGAAAAAGAGTAGGATAAAAAATAAGTAGACATCAATAGCAGCAGGTAACAGTGCAATACTTATTCTTTATCCCGAACACATCAGCTTAACAGCATCATCGTGGTCTAGTGGTTAGCACATTGTGTTATGACGCCACCGATCACCGATCAGATCACCAATCTGATTTTTTCATTTTTAGTGTTAAGACATATAATGCTGTTTGGGTTACTTATGTACATATTTTATTTTTTTGTATGACGACCGTTACAAAGGACTGAATATCTATAAAGAATTAATGTTCTCATATTTATGAAAAGCATTTGAAGTTCTAAAGCAGCTGTGTCCTTGAAAAAAGACGTGTTAAGGCTGATTTATACTTCTGCGTCAAACGCCGGCGTATGCTACGGTGCTGACGCATAGTCCTTCACCATGGCCGTCGCCGTCACTGACGTGCACCTCTCAAAAAATGTAACTACACGTCGCAACGACGCGTAGCGTAAGCTCTGTGATTGGTCGGCTTGGTAGCGCTGACGAATCTGGGCGGGGCCAAGAGCCGCGAGAATGGCGCGAGCGATTGTTTACAAGTGTGGAGTCCCGTGAAGGAGCTCCGGATGGAAAGTTTACCTCATAGTTAAAGTTGTTGCACGTCCGCCGGTTCCTGCCTCAAAATGAGCGAGTTTGAGTCACTTGTACATCCAGGAAGTGTTCAGGAAAAGCAAAAAAGCAGTGAAGAAACTCGACACAGAGGAACATTAACACCTCACTGCCAACTAGCGTTTCTGAGGTGTTAATGCAGACCAACAGAGACAGCAGCAGAAGTATAAATGCACAGCCACGCGCATCGCATGCGCTGTGGGTTACGCCGGTCACTTGACGCAGAAGTATAAATCAGCCTTTATGCCCCATTCACACGGGGCGTCAGCGCCAACGCTTCCCATTGACGTCAGGCATTGTCGAACTGCATTGTGGATCCATCGGCGCCGCTTCAGAGCAGTGGCGCAAAAAGGGGGTATGCAGTATATGCGGCGCATAGGGGCGCCACACATTGGGGGCGCCATTGTGCCAAAACTATTTTTGAAATTATCTATATTAAAAGTTTCATATATATATATATATATATATATATATATATATATATATATATATATATATACATGTTAAAAATGTTTATTTAGCATTTTATACGCGTATAATATTGTATTTTATTAAATGAAAAAATCATTCCACCCCCCACCCCCATTTTTCATACCATATACATGTTTTTATGAATTTATTATGTATCATATTGATTCATCAGGCCTTTTGGTAACTTCTTAGCTCAAAACTATTTTAATTTTAGCTACAAACAAAGTTATAACATTTCAATTAAATAGAACATTTGTTTGTTTCTGTTTTTTTTTTTTTTTTTTTTTACACTAAACATTTGTAGGACATTAAACATCTAAACATTAAACATTAAACATCTTTTTATTTAACTTTTAGCAGTTTCAGTCAATTGTTCTTGCAAAGACAGACCTTACACTTCTCACAGTATGCATGTGAGAAGTAATTGCAATGTTCTTTTGCCCTTTAGGACTCCCATGTCTATCATTTTGTTTTGACAAATGTAGTACAAAAAGTCCAAAAGCAAGGCTAGTCAAGGTGCTATAATCATTTAGTGAGGGAAATTTAAATTGAGAAGAAATTTGGGGTGGTATGAGATGCATTTCTTTGCGACTTAACATGCTTAATGTAATTATACCTTTTACTACTTCATACTATTTCAGTTGTGTTCAGAACTGCCAAACTGTATTTTTTGAAGCATATTGATATCTTTATGAAAAAATATCTTTAATTTTTATTGATAGAAATATATTCCACATTTTATCACTTGCCTGTTATAAAATATAGTTAGATTGAAGGGGGGCGCGCAAAAGTTGAAGCCGCATACCCATCAGTAAATGTGCAGTTGCGCCCCTGCTTCAGAGGCATTGCTCGCTGCAGAAGTTGGGACTTGCTCAACTTTTCAAGCACCGATGGAAGCGTCAGCCAATCAGATCGCTGTATGCAAATACACCAGCTAGACAGTGGCCTATTGCTGACTGAATTTCATTGGCTGACGCTGCTATGACGATCACTTCAGCCCAAACTTCAGACACGCCTTCAGTCAAGCATTGACGCTGAAGCCCCATGTGAATGGGGCGTTAGTGTCATTAGAAATTGAATTGGAAATTATCTTATTTTAATATAGTCAGTCGTGAACTGAGGTGGGCCGGTCTAAAGCTTGAAACTCCAGAGCTGAAAAGGAGTCCCACTCCGCCCCTGAATAAAACCATTTGTATTCTGATTCTGTCAGGCCATATATGTTCTTTGGACCCTTCCAGAATGCAAAGACAACACATTGCAACAAACTAAAACTTTTCAGACAAATAACAAATCAGTGCAAGTCAGGTCGATGGTCGACATTTGAATGGTCGTGTTTACTCTCTTGAGCCTAATGTTTATCATCAAACTCCCTCTGTTTGTTCTGTCTGCCACTTTCAGGGAAATCAATGCTGAATTCAGATTGATTGGCTCTTGATTTTTCTGAACTTTGGAGTGTGAGTTTTTTGTTGCTATAAATATCTTGACTGGACATCTGCACTGACCACAATCATGGGTGACCATAAACTCCGTCTGCTGCTGTTTTTCAGCCTCATCATCTTGTCCAGTAAGTATATTTACCATCACTCACTGCCATCACATCTCATAACTCTTAATCAACCTGGAACTCCAAATGTGCTTATTTTTGCCTAGTACACACATCTAAACATTATTAAATCAAGTTACATCTCCTTCAGGTGTAAAATGATCAAATGTATTGAAACTGTATATTTGTGATTGCATTTGCAGCTTTACTACAGGTCAAAGATGTTGTTTCAATTTAGATTTAAAGTTTTTTTTTTATTTAATTAAGCTGTTTTTCTTTGCATAGAAATTAATAAATGTAAATGTGAGTACTTTGACGTTTCAAATAACTTTCATGCAAGTAAAATGCCAAATAAATATTTGCACCCTGTGAAAGTGTCATTCTTTTTCAAAAATATTTCCCCCAAGTGCTTGTTAACAGAGCAAGGAAATGTGTCTTAGTGTTTTATATTGTATTTTCCTCTGGAGAATGTTGTATTTCATTTAGTTTGGCAGCAATAAATAAATAGAAAAATTTGTAAAACTTCTACGGTCGATGTTATTAGCAGTACTGCAGTATTTTAATGTAATACACGCATTTGTCTTGCCTTACAGCGACCATTCTTGAGTAACTGATCCACATGCAAACCTACAGTTATATTTGTGCATGCGGGTGATGTGTATTAAACAAGTTCTCTGCTTCTTCTTTCTTCTAGTATGCAGAAGATTTAAACCCCTCAGCAAGCACGAGTATTTCTATGAGACAGAGTCCTTAAACTCTCTGAACAAGCAGGTCAACGGCCCCAAGGCCAGCTGCAGGGTACA